CTAAAAAAGAAGACAGAAGTCAAAGTTTACCTGGATATCAAAATACCTGTTTTAAGTTTTTTAGTGTCTACTGTCTAGTCCTCAGGACACATGCGTCAATGTTTGAAATAATATCCCTCCACGTTGATATTTACCTGATCAAAGAAATATCCACCGGCAACGGATGATTGAAAATATACTTTGGAAAAGAGTATACAAATCCAACAACTTGGGATCCAGGAATGGGACAAAATATGGGGTCACGACTATCCAGTGACAACGGCAAGTTGTCTTGGGTGATCTCTTTTAATTGGCTGCAGCGCCACCCTGTGGACAGGTGACATTTCCGCGTTCAAATATTAGGGTATGTAACTGCGACCTGAAGCCAGTAACAAGAAATGCTCCCTTCCTGGTTTGTTTGATTTGGTAGTTTTGCTTTGGATTGTTTGTTATTGGGTCTATACGTGATCCTTATATAGAAGAGTAAAGAATGTCCATGGCATCTTTGAAGTAGTTTCCCCTAAAAATAAAGCCATATTACTGCTTTAGTCACAGCTGACCTCCATAGTCAGACTTCTTTTAGTTACGGCAGAAGCTCCAGAATTTTCACAGCTCTCCCTCCAAACTGAGCCGCGAAAGCCGACCAGTTTCTAACGTGGCGGATTACAGAACCATCTGTGTAAATGACAGCATCACCCTCTAGTGCGTTCTCGAAAATCAAGGCTCGAACTTGTGCTTCCACAGCAGCCGGACTCTGTTGTCTGTATTTTCTGTCTAGTTGGATGCAAACAGAAAAAGATGTACAGCACTCTGAAGGCACTTGTACCCACTCTTCGCCGGGTTCTATGTCATCAAGTGAATATACCTGTAAAATAATTTTCCTCGGCTTGACCCATCCACGATTTGCCTCTTTTTAACCTGCTGCCTTTTATCTTCTTGATTTGACTATGTAATGGATTATGTGTGTCCGCCTTGACTGTGAGGTAAGCACGAGCTCGGGAAGTTTGTATTTTGTCTTCCATGGTCGTATAGAGAAGGTAGCGCATAACCCAGCATGCTGTATCTCTTGTACACCCAAGTATAATGGCGCATAGCCTCGTTCTGTACTCTTTCCCTCCTTTCCATCTGCTTGTGGCTGAGAGTCAGGATCGCCATCGCGTATTCAAAAACGGAAAGGACCAGACCCTGGTATAGAAGACATAGATGATGCTGCTCACAGTTTGCCGACGTCATCACTCTCATCGCAGCCAGACCCCGCTTGGCTTTCATTAAAATCCTATCTATGTGCTCAGTTTAAGCAAGGCTTCGATCAAAATGTATCCCCAGGTATTTCACTGCGTTCATTCTTTCCACAACCTCAGAACACAGACTTACAATTGGTGTTGGAGTTTTCACAATATGGTTATTAACAAGAAAACCATGTCACTGCCCCCTTCGTTGGGTTAACCAGTGAAACCCTAACACTATATATATATATATATATATATATATATATATATATATATATATATATATATATATATATATATATATATATATATCCCAGTTATAACCCTGGGGATTGAACCGGATATTTTGTTTAAACTACTTCCTGGTCTGGAAGCACTTCATGTTACTTTGTAGCCTAACCAACTGGGGCCTTGGCTCCCAGTCTAACCTAAATGTTGAACGGGGCTTACAGTAATTTGTATAAACATGATTCTCATACTTGATATGTTTATTCAGCAGACTGCAAGCCGTTGGTTGGGGGTGGGGAGGGGAGGGGTCAAAATGCAAGCAATCAAGTAATAAAAGATGTCTATCCCCTCACTAAACAGCGGTGATTAGTCAGGATCATCATCAAAGAACTTCCAACATGTCTGTTGGTGCTCCGATCTCCTCGTCCTCCTCACAAGCCACACAGCAGTAAAGTTACTGATGACGCTTGTTCTGTGTTGGTTAATCAACCGTTGTGTATTGGGCCGTCTCAACAGTATGATGGGATTAAGGGTAGCCCAGTGTGCTGTGACTCATAAGACAACCACTCACAGAAATGAAATGTTAAATACTTTACATAACAGATTATGGCAAGTCACTTTACATACACAGATTTTGGCAAGTCAAAATAAGTCGAAAATAAGACGTCGATCAAGGTTGTTTAGTGAAAGGCTTATCCACAAATTAATGTTGAGTTATTGTATCATGCAGCTAGCTTTTATAAAAGCTGACATAAAAATCAACTTCAAAACGAATTTGAGATTTAAACTTTTAAACTGTACCAGTACTTTTTCATGGAATCTAAGATGGGTCATTTATATTGTAAAGATAATGACCCAGTGAAACGAACACCATTGGCGCCTGGTCCGGATAGAGCATCACATAACTGTTGGATTAGACAGGACACAGAGTACGCTCGTGTCAAGCAAGGAAGGAAAAGGAAAGTTGACTTTGAGGTCGATGTCATTAAACGTGACATTTTAAAAATGTTAGAGACAAATCAACTTGTTACTTTCCGAAAACTGAAATTAACACTGCCATCATCAGCACAACCCCCCCCCCCCCCCCCCCCCCTCTGCTGTAACTGTGAATCAATTTCGAGGATAAACAGCCACTACTTTTAAAGTATTTTCTTTTAAGCGTCTAACTAACGTCAGACCTTCCTATAGTTTACCACAACATACAGTTAATAAGGACTCTTCCCAGATCATACATCTGTTACCACAACATACAGTTAATAAGGACTCTTCACAAACCATACATCTGTTACCACAGATTTTCGTTATTTGAAGCCCTACTCTGGCTTTTGCCCGGCTATAAATATGGTCTAATGGCTGAACGCGGTTTCTGGGACCTCTCCACGGGTGATCCTCATCCACATGGTTGCACCGGGTGTTTATCGCTTGTGTGATGTCCTGGTGGGGTAAAAGAGGACGGGTATAGATCTTCAACAGCAAAGTTCCAATTCCGATGGTGCCAGTAACAGTTTGTATGTCCGCTTCGCTTCAGCCCTGAGCTCTGAGCGTCGGCCAGAGCCTCTAACACTCCTCGTTGCACCATTCTCTTCAGACCTTAACGAACTCGTGCCTCCGAGCTGTTTACTCGTTCCCAGAGGCCCCTTACGTCTAGATTGTCATGCAAAATTTTTTCACTAAAGGGTGCCGAAACAGCCAATCTCTCTGCCCCTTGGTATCATCATCATCATCATCATCATTTAGAAGCTGTTAAAGCAGTGATTCCAAAACTGTGCGCCGCGGCGCCCCTGAGAGCCGCGACCTCTTCACAGGGGCGCCGCGAAATATTTGAAGATACACTAGTGTTTTTGTGTGTGAGTGTCTATCTCTTACATACGAATTGTGATACTTTTACTTAGGTTAGGGCGCTGTAGAAATATTTTAACTGAAAAAAAAAAGGCGCCGCGACTAAGAAAAATTTGGGAAACTGTTTTAAAGGGACAACTGTTTGCTACCGAAACATTTAAGTTTGCTTTGTATTTCTCCCCACTCTCTGTCAAGTCTGATGAAAGGCATAGACATTAGCCTAGCTATAAACCACAGCGAAACGTGCCAGCCGCCGTTTTGAGGACACCTGAAGAGGAGAAAGAGAAAGAAGAAGATGAAATAAAATAAATACGTGTTTGACCTGGAGCCGCAGCTGATTACCTGTCTCTAGCAGACTGCACTTCCGTTCCGTAACGCAAATGGAGTTGAGATTAGTGGTAGAATTCTGCTGGAAGTTCAAACTCATCTCGACTTTCTGACGATTTCACTATATTTTAGTCCACCCAGCACGAAAGTAAATACTCACCAGATATTGTAATAATTATAATTAAATCATTTGATAACAATAATTTACAGTTTATTGATCTTAGTTTGCTGTTAAATTCGGAGTTTTCATCAGGTTGTTGCACAATGAATGGTTTGTTTACATACGAAACCAGAGGCACATTTAGGATACTTAACTTAATTATTTGCAAGAGGGAGTCTTGACAATACATAACATTTATATTCTGTAACTTGATATAAATAAATAAATCAGGCACTAAGTAAACCTTTCTAAGAAATATTCAGAGTCAGACAGCATTCACGTCAGTGTAGAAAGTAAATAAATATTCATCAGAAAAGATATATTAATATTGTAATAATTATAATTCAATCACATCGTGACCATAATTTGTATTTGATTGCTGGTTAGTTTGATGTTAAATTCTGCGTTTTTCATCAAGTTGTCTACAAGGCTGGTTTGTTTGTTCACATACACAATTAAAGGCACATTATAAGATCAAAATTAATTGAATCTTTAATTTGAAAAAAAATCGGCTATCCTCTGAATAACGGGCACTAAAGATGGCGGCCGCAAAATACTCTTTTGAGCCTCAGTCACGTGACTTAATTTTGCGGTTTTCCTGCAGTTTTCAGGCGGCTACCGCTACCGCCACGAGTCCCGCGTGACCGGCGTGGATTGGGGCTAAACTAGATGGCTAGGACTCACGAGCAATGCTGCAGGAGATGCGGAAGCTGCTTCTTGTGGGTCCTAGCCATCTAGTTTAGCCCCAATCCACACGGCGTGGGGGACTTGTGGCGGTGGCCGTAGTCGCTGGAAAACCGCAAATTAAGTCGCCGTAAGTGCGTAATTGACACGTGACTGAGGCTCGAAAGGATATTTTGCGGCCACCATCTTTAGTGCCCGTTATTCAGAGGATAGCTGATTCTGTTATTTAAACAAAATCCTAATTTACAAGAAAAGACACAAGAACATATGTAGTTATATTCCGCAACTAATGGATTCACTAAGGAGGGTCATGAAATCAAAGAACAACAAAAATAAAGCAAATCCCCTCTGTAGTTGTTGACTATTGACTCTGACTCTTCATTCTCTGCTGCATTCATCTTTGATCAGTTCAAAAGATTCTAAAGACTGTTTTCAAAAGCATGTAATAAGGCTTCATCTTATTTAGTTGTCTTCCAGGTTTGAGAGCCATATAGGATTATCATCTCATCATCTTTGATCAGTATCTGTATTAATCCTATTATTTGTTTCCACAGGATGAACGAAAGATGGGTATAGGTACATCATCTCTGTTGGTTTGGCTGATTTTAAAACTTGTATTGGGCTCTGACCTACCAGCAATAGTTGGTGAGTCTTGTGTGAAGTTCTTATTATTGGTGTAATCATGTCTGCTTGCCAGCCTGGCTGGCTGTCAGGCTGTCTGTCTGCATGCCTGCCTCCTGTCGGCCTGCCTTCTGCGTGCCTGCCTCCTGTCTGCCTGCATTCTGTCTACCTGCCTGCATTCTGTCTACCTGCCTGCCTCCTGTCTGTCTGCATCCTGTCTGCCTGCATCGTGTCTACCTGCCTGCCTCCTGTCTGCCTGTATTCTGTCTACCTCCTGTCTGCCTGCATCCTGTCTACCTGCCTGGCTTCTGTCTGTCTGCATCCTGTCTGCCTGCATCCTGTCTAACTATCTGCCTGCATCCTGTCTACCTGCCTGCCTCCTTTTGGCCTGCCTTCCTGTCAGCCTGCCTGTCTGCTTTCTGAATGCCTGCCTCTTGTCTACCTGCCTACCTGCTACTTGCCTGCCTTCTGTCTACCTGCCTTCCTGCATGCCTGCCTCTGCCTTTCTCTGTGGACAGTTACCTAAAGGTACAACCACCCCTGTGACTTGAAAGAATAATATCCTGAATGGCAAATCCCAGATTTTTAACTCTTTCAGTAAACTGCTGTCCTTCGTAGGTATGGATCATGTATTGGAAAATTATATTCTTTTCATGACAGGGTTCCACTTTAGAGGGGAAAAAGAATAGGGCCACTGACCCCCTAACAAGCAAGTCATTCATTTAGATTAATTAAGGTTTAGTTGAAATGGGATATATTGGGCTGAAGGGCGCACATATTGCAGCCTAGTTCTAAACCACAACATAATATGGCAACCACCCTTCTAAGGGCAAACACAGAAGTTCCTGGGTACCACTGATTCATCATTATTGTTCTGTGGTGTCATTTTAGGTCACATATAGTTCACGGTTTTTCCTCCATTACATTATGTCCTGTGCAATTCCTTCAATATTATTGATGGAGTCCAGTCCTGCACTTTTGTTTACTGGAATGGTCTGCCTTCTTGCAAGTTTTTGTAGCAAAATAAAAGCAAGCGGGGAAGCTGGTCTCACGCCCAACCCTCCTCTCTCCTACCGGCTTGGGAGTGGCAGTGATACCAATGATTAGACAAACAATATTTTCAGAGAATTAAGAACTGGACACCCAGGCCTGTTTAATGTTGTGCTGTTCTCAGTCTCTGCTCCTTTCTATATTAAGTGTATGTTGCACATTTTCTGTTTACAGTGAAATAATTACAGAAAAAATGTTAGTTACGTATCCTTTAAAAGGACATTGCACAACCAACCCCATCATTTTCTACTATTGTGGTTTTCCTAGGCAATTTTTACGTTCAGTTGTTTGCCATTGCTGTCTGAATGGTCAGCTCCCGGTACCACTGTTGGAAGCAAAACAAACCGTCCGCAGCTGGGATCGAATCCGGCAGTACCAAGCGTATTCGCCATGCCTGAGCCACAGACGCCGACAAATGACCTGATAATTTTCATATTGTAATTTATGTGGCAGATCGCAAAATGAACATCATTTAATCCTCTCAACAATAGTCTGTCCATCCATCTGTCTGTATATTTTTTTAAACCTGTTTGTTTATCATCCATCTGTCCATCCATTATATTTCATCTGACAACCCATGCCAATCTGTCCACCCATTGATTCACCTATTAACCAATCTATCCGTTTATCTACACACAGATGCCTGTCCACAAACATACATAGTTTAAATCTAGAATCATGACAAGAAATATGTCTTATCACCTAAGTTCATAACAAATACTAAGTCCTAGCAAAACTATCTTATAGCCTTACACTCCATGCTGTCTCATAAGTAAAAGTAAAGGACCCGTTTCCACGCCTTTAGGTGTTTAGGGCATATAGGGCTAGACCTATAATTTATAGACCAATCGGCACAAGATGGGTGATGTGGTCAGCATCACGCCGGCCGCCTTTACTTCCCACTTCTGCACCTGGTACCCACTCAAGGCTGGGTCTACTTGGGAGCCAAGGTCATTATTGAAATAAAAGTCAGGCTCCACCAGGGAGCAAACTCATGACCTTCATATCCGCAGGCGAGTGTCTAGCTGCTCCGCCATGGGGACTCCAAATACTATCACATGAATACCATTAACAGTTCTGTCACTGGCAGTCACAGCAGCTTTATGCTGGCCAGAGAGCCAGCTGCACACACATGTGTGATTGTAGCAGATTCACAAAGCATGCGGAGAAAGGCGTGCTCTATGCAGATTGGCAGTCTAAGCTTCAGAAGTACACAACAATAGTTAGCATCTCTTGGTTTGTTCTCTGGGGCATGCCGGTGTTGTGGGAAATGAACAAGCAAACAGATTAACTGGTGCTGCACCAGTGGGTGGTGAATTGATGTATAACAACAGTTTAGAAGCTGTTAGAAACAGTTTAGTCTGTCCTATCCAATGCCAGCGTCTTTTCTTCACCTCTTGGTCCACTGGAACTTGATTAGTTCTCTCCCAAAGCTCCACATTAGTGATTCTATCATACCATTTACTCCCTTCTATTCTGCTCAGGAACCAGTTAATGCATTTTGTAGCTTATTAGTATTTGCCTCAGCTGTTCTCCATGTTTCCACTCCATACAGCAGTACTGATTTGACGTTAGAATTAAAAATGTTAAGTTTAGTATTTCTTGTAATTTATTTTGACCTCCACAAATTCACTAGAGCTATGAAAGCCTCTCTTGTCTTTTGTATTCGTATTTTAATATCTCTACCTATGGATATTTTACTTTCTAGAATCCATGGGAAGCCGGCATGGGTGTGAGCAGTATCCCAGCGAAATCCATTGGATCTCTGAGAAAACAAGTGCACTGGTCATTGGCAAAAGTGAAGATTCCGTCCAGGTCTGCAGGTTGAAATTTGGACTGGCAACAAAGAAGGAAGGTGCTCGGCTGCGGCTCAGCTTTGACTTCATCTACAACCAAGCCTGTGGCGTGTTCCTGCAGATCAATGAATCAGTGACCAGTGACTTCACGAATTCAGACACCAACAGGGAGATGGTAAGAGTTTAGATCTTTCAGTAACACGCATTTTCAGTTCAATCAGACATATATCTAATATAAAGCATATACATTCCCATCCTATGCTGCCATTGCTGGAAAAGGTTAGTTGCAACAAACTAGAAAAGAAAATTAGGAACCATCAAAAAAGAGATGTAAGAGGAAGACTGCAGGAGTGATAAGAAGAGATATCAGAAATGAAGTCATAAGAGGAAAAATCAGCACAGAGAACGTTAGTTAGTTAGTTAGTTAGCTAGTTAGTTAGTTAGTTAGTTAGTTAGTTAGTTAGTTAGTTAGTTGTTTAGTTAGTTCGTTAGTTAGTTAGTTAGTTAGTTAGTTAGTTAGTTAGTTGTTTAGTTAGTTAGTTAGTTAGTTAGTCGACAGATTATCCTCATTGCACGTCAAATCACTCAATCCATAAGTGCTAGGATCCCCTCCTCAGTAAATCCCGCGGCGTGTAGCGGCTAACTACACCAGTTCTGTGTTGGTTTACTATTCTTCTTTGGCTACCCAAGTAGTATTCTTGTTTGGTGGCACCCCGTTTAACATGTTGTTCTTGCAGTTCTTTCTTTTTCATAGCTGCTTCACTTTCATGTCAATTTGTTTTACAGAGAACTTAAAAAGGCAGCAAAGAAAACGGTTTTCTCACTTCGAGAGAGTGCTTTATGATGCCATACGATATAAAGCACATACCAGGCAAGGAGAGATATAAGAGGACGATCGAGAACAAGATGGAAAGATAACATCAGAGAAACTCTACAACAGAACGATGTGTCTTTGGTCGAGGCAGTTGGAAGAGCAAGAGGCAAAACTATCTCCCTCAACACCCAAAGTGGTGAAAGAGGAAGTGAAGAAGGAGAAGTCTAACACTGACATTTGCACTTTGTCATATGATAATATTTATTCTGTGTCTGGCTATCCACTGTTTTGCAAACAAAACAAAAAAAATTACCAAAAATGTAAATGTTACAAGACAATTTTTAGAGTATCTTAGATTAAAGAAGTGGGAAAACTATTGACACCATTGTGTATCGTTTAGACGCTTACCTGCGGTTCGGAAGGTTGTGGGTTCACTCCCTGATGAAGCTGGACTTTCGTATGCACCGTATTGTGTGGAAAGGGCATAACAGGAAGTGAATGAGAGCGAAGGAAGAAATAATTGCAGAAAGTATAAGAGCTGAGCGTCTGAGAAGAAACGGATTAAACACAAATGTTGACAACAATGTTCATGAAACCCCATACTATCTTTGTGGACTACTTTTCTTGACACGGGCGGGTCTTGCTAGTCACACTCGCTATCGCCATGGGCTGTGAGTCCCATGCCTCCACATAGCGCAATATAGCACTATCGTCTGGAAAGACGGAAAGGTGCCAATAAAAAATCAGGATCTAAAAAAAACAGATGGGGACTGGCTCAAAAACAGAATAGTTTCTCGGAAACTAAACTGCTTCAGTTTTATTTAAACTCATTATGGTTTGAAGAGAAAGGTAAAGGAGGGTGTAGTTTCTGGAAGAAGAAGCACCTGACAGTGAACTCAGGATATCAAGGACAGCCTTCTCATTAATTTACAGGGAAGTTGGCAAGGGGTCAAAGGCTTTCCAGTATGCAGTGATGAGAATGAGATTCTGGAAAGTACCTGTTACATGATGATGACTATCTACTGTGCTATCTGCTGGTTTATTCTATAATTCATAATCCACTGGTATGTTCTATAACTACCAACTGGTTTATTCTGTAACTATCCACTGGTTTATTCTGTAACTATCCACTGGTTTATTCTGAAACTGTCCACTGGTTTATTCTGTAACTATCCACTGGTATCTTCTGTAACTATCCACTGGTTTATTCTGTAACTATCCACTGGTTTATTCTGTAACTATCCACTGGTTTATTCTGTAACTATCCACTGGTTTATTCTGTAACTACCAACTGGTTTATTCTGTAACTATCCACTGGTTTATTCTGTAACTATCCACTGGTTTATTCTGTAACTACCAACTGGTTTATTCTGTAACTATCCACTGGTTTATTCTGTAACTACCAACTGGTTTATTCTGTAACTATCCACTGGTTTATTCTGTAACTATCCACTGGTTTATTCTGTAACTACCAACTGGTTTATTCTGTAACTATCCACTGGTTTATTCTGTAATTATCCACTGGTTTATTCTGTAACTACCAACTGGTTTATTCTGTAACTATCCACTGGTTTATTCTGTAACTACCAACTGGTTTATTCTGTAACTACCAACTGGTTTATTCTGTAACTATCCACTGGTTTATTCTGTAACTACCAACTGGTTTATTCTGTAACTATCCACTGGTTTATTCTGTAACTACCAACTGGTTTATTCTGTAACTACCAACTGGTTTATTCTGTAACTATCCACTGGTTTATTCTGTAACTACCAACTGGTTTATTCTGTAACTATCCACTGGTTTATTCTGTAACTACCAACTGGTTTATTCTGTAACTATCCACTGGTTTATTCTGTAACTACCAACTGGTTTATTCTGTAACTATCCACTGGTTTATTCTGTAACTGACTATCCACACGTATATTCTGTAACTATTCACTGGTTTATTCTGTAACTAACTATCCACTGGTTTATTCTGTAACTATCCACTGGTTTATTCTGTAACTGACTATCCACTGGTTTATTCTGTAACTACCAACTGGTTTATTCTGTAACTATCCACTGGTTTATTCTGTAACTACCAACTGGTTTATTCTGTAACTATCCACTGGTTTATTCTGTAACTACCAACTGGTTTATTCTGTAACTATCCACTGGTTTATTCTGTAACTACCAACTGGTTTATTCTGTAACTATCCACTGGTTTATTCTGTAACTGACTATCCACTGGTTTATTCTGTAACTGACTATCCACACGTATATTCTGTAACTATTCACTGGTTTATTCTGTAACTGACTATCCACTGGTTTATTCTGTAACTATCCACTGGTTTATTCTGTAACTGACTATCCACTGGTTTATTCTGTAACTACCAACTGGTTTATTCTGTAACTATCCACTGGTTTATTCTGTAACTGACTATTCACTGGTTTATTCTGTAACTACCAACTGGTTTATTCTGTAACTATCCACTGGTTTATTCTGTAACTGACTATCCACTGGTTTATTCTGTAACTGACTATCCACACATATATTCTGTAACTATTCACTGGTTTATTCTGTAACTGACTATCCACTGGTTTATTCTGTAACTATCCACTGGTTTATCCTGTAACTGACTATCCACTGGTTTATTCTGTAACTATCCACTGGTTTATTCTGTAACTGACCATCCACTGGTTTATTCTGTAACTGACCATCCACTGGTTTATTCTTTAACTATCCACTGGTTTATTCTGTAACTGACTATCCACTGGTTTATTCTGTAACTATCCACTGGTTTATTCTGTAACTGACCATCCACTGGTTTATTCTGTAACTATCCACTGGTTTATTCTGTAACTAACCATCCACTGGTTTATTCTTTAACTGACCCTCCATTGGTTTATTTTTTAACTAACCATCCACTGATTTATTCTCTAACTGACCATCCCCTGGTTTATTCTGTAAATATCCATCCACTGGTTTATTCTGTAACTGACCATCCACTGGTTTATTCTTTAACTATCTACTTGTTTGTTCTGTAACTGACCATCCACTGGTTTTTTCTATAACTGACTATCCACTGGTTTATTCTGTAACTGACCATCCACACGTATATTCTGTAACTATCCACTGGTTTATTCTGTAATGGACCATCCACTGATTTATTCTGTAACTGACCATCCACTGGTTTATTCTGTACCTGACTATCTACTGGCTTATTCTGTAACTGACTATCAACTGGATGAATGTTGAATTAAGAATTGACATCATAACTCGCTGGACACTCCCATAAGCACTCCGTCCCCATCTTCAGCAGAAAGCAAAGAGTTCTATTTCCAATGGTACCAGTAGCTGTTTGATCGTATATCCATCTCGCCTTTGCGTTGAATGTTGAGCCATGGCCAGATCCCCTGGTAACTCCTTGCAGTGCCATTCTCCTCAGACTGTAATGATCTGTCTGTGCCTCTGCACTGTTTACTAGCTCCCAAAGGGCCCTCACAACATCTAGGTTGTCATTCGTCAAGTGGTGCAGAATTGGCCAGTCTGTCTGTCTGCTCATTTCCCAACACATCGGCATGACCTGGAGAAAATATTCAAAGGCTGCTAACTACCGGGGACCTCTGAAGTGATGCTTGCCACTCCTCACTGAGGAAGAGTGCAGTTAAAATGATCTTTTACTAACTGAAACCAAACAAAAATAATTGAGAATGCAATGAAAGGGATCTTTTACAAACTAAATGAAATCAAAATAATGTAGATTGCAAAGAAAGTGATGTTTTACAACCTAACCAAAATGTTGTACTGTTTTCACTGAAAGCCATCCTTTACAAATTAAACTAATTCAGAATGTTTCAGACTATTATTGTACAATTCTGAATGCTGTTGATATCAGATGATGTCTGGGTGTAACACCCGAGATCCTGGCCCGCTATTTGCACAGCCCAAGAACTTTGTCTTAATTAGCCTTGTCAAGAGCAGCTATGTACTAGAGGCCTACAACTTCCGATTGAATATTTCAATGGCTGGTCAGTAGAGTAACTTGTTACTTGTTTTTTGTTTTTATAAATTGTGTTTAAAAGAAAAAAAGTAAAGATCCTTTTTCACGCCTTTAGGCGTATCAGATATATGGGAAGAGTACTCATACTTTTATAGACCATCGGCACAAGGTGAGTAATGCGGTCAGTATTACGCCATAAATTGTGTGCCATCTCATAAATGAAGGTTGTACCCAGTGACTGGGAATATTGTGTGCTGAGGCCCTCATCTGTTTCACGGTGTGACTCTCATACCGCCGTCCAAATGCCACTATTTAACAGTAAACTAATTGTAATGATAGTGATGGCAGTATATCTCTTCCCCCCTTTCCCCTCACCTCCACTTAAAAAAGTGTATAGATGGATAGATAGGTAAATGAGTAGGTAAGAGTAGACAGATAGTTGTAATGATGGTGGACTGACCTTTGTTCTTCTGCATACCCCTTAACTATTCTTCTGCATACCCCTTAACTCTTCTTCTGCATACCCCTTAACTCTTCTTCTGCATACCCCTTAACTCTTTTTCTGCATACCCCTTAACTCTTCTTCTGCATACCCCCTCAACTCTTCTTCTGCATACCCCCTCAACTCTTCTTCTGCATACCCCTTAACTCTTTTTCTGCATACCCCTTAACTCTTCTTCTGTGTCCACCTCTTTCAGTGCCAGACGGTGAGACTGGGTGTTACCCAAGCCCAGCAGATCAGTGTGCTCTGTATATTTGAAGGGAGTCACCGTGGCGTAGCAGCTAGACGCTCAGTTGCAGATCTGAAGGTCGTGGGTTCACTCCCTGGCGAAGCTGGACTTTAAAAAAATGACATTGACTCCCAGGTCGACCCAGCCTTGAGTGGGTACCAGGTGCAGTCCCAGGAAGTAAAGGCGGCCTAGGTGATGCTGACTACATCTCCCATCTTGTGCTGATTGGTCTATAAAAAATATAGGTCAAACCCTATATGCCCTATAGACTTAAAGTGTGGAAAAGGGACCTTTGCTTTTTATGTATATTTGCACATTGCCCATTTAGTAAGGGCATAGACAAATCACTTAGATGAAGTACATCCTTAATCCTTTCGAGATCCTTAGTATTGTGTTAAACAAGTTGTGTATACCAAACACATTTTCTTATAAGAAATAAGCAAGGAATGAAAAATCCGCTGCAGTGAATAAAAAATCCTGTTGTTATTTTCATATTATGTATTGATGGGGATTGTATAAAATAATTAAAACCCTGCTTTATACTGAAATACATAAATACAAAAGCAATTAGATGGAATAAATGAGAATTTAACCTTAATTCTCTGAGAAGAATTGAGTGCCTTCTATGATGATACTGAGAAAGGGAGAGAAGGGGATGTTATTGTTTGGAAAGAGAGGGGCTGGGTTTTGGGGTGGGGGAGGTGGAGGTCTTGCCATATACTCAGTTGGGGCATGGGGGTCTTGCAATAAACTCAAGGGGCTGGGGGTTTGGGGTGGAGGTCTTACCATATACTCAGTTGGGGCATGGGGGTCCTGCAATAAACTCAAGGGGCTGGGGGTTTGGGGTGGGGGAGGTGGAGGTCTTGCCATATACTCAAGGAGAGGGCAGGACATGTACAATTTTGGGGACCACTGACCTAGAGGGTATTTATTATCAACCACAACTGAAATTGCGGCGTCCGTGGCTAAGGCGTTGCAAGTCCGACTCGTTATACCAACGTACTGCGATCGAAACCCACTGCTGGTTGCGTGGATTTTTATCATGGTTTGGGGTGTCGCAGGTCGACCCAGCCTAAAATGGGTACCAGGATGGCTGTCCTGGGAAAGTAAAGACAGCCCGGGTAATGCTGACCACATTACTCACAGAGTGCTGATTGTCTATAAAACTATGGGCGCTCTTCCCATTTGCCCGATACGCCTAAAGGCGTGAAAAGGGATCTTTACTTTACTTTACTTATGACTGAAATTTGGAAATTGAACTTCTACAGAGCATCTACCTGCTAGAGGCCCGCAGCTGCATGTGGTGATCATTGTAGGGTTTGTGCTGTTCACTGTCGTCATATTGGTGGCCATTTTGCTGTTTAAGTATATCACTCGGCTGTCATACCACTGGCACGACCGCCGGGTGGAAGAGGCAGCCACAAGACCCATCAGTATTTATACCTCGCAGGAACATTTACAGAGGCCCAATCATACTTACACATTGAGGCCTGCAGGTATGGTGTTGTAGTCCTGTTGGTTTGTAAATATAGAAGTCGGTTAAATAAGATAGTTGAAGTAGGTTATGTGGATTTATTAATCTTCTTTGCGTTCACCAGCTGTAAACTCTGGCAGAAAGTTCTGGTTGTTCATCCACTTCTGGACTGCAGTCCTGTTCCAGAACTTGAGTGTTGCATGTGCATCCGTTTTACAGATCTGACTCATTTGTATGCAGACTGCTGGTTCCTTGCCTCTCAGGCAGATGCACTCCGACTTCGAAGGAAGCTCCCTGTTAGTCGACCCTTACGACATGCTTTTGGAAGGCAGTGGGTCTATTCTTGTTTTCCCTATAACAGGGTCCCGGAACCCACAAGGGGAAATTTATTCATGTATCATCAATCACATCAATCTTCCTAGCATGGCTAAAAGTTTCTTTCTCTAGCCAGTTCCCCAGCCCTTTGTGCTTTCCTAGCCAGTGCATCTTCAGTGTCTCTTGCCTCCACCTTCACATTTTACCGAAACAGTACCCTACATGAACTTTCAATGGTGTTTAGAAGGAATTCCACCAGTAAACATGACCAAAAAGCCTAACTAAATGGGAAAGCAGAAAAACATGCACAAAACAACTCAAATAATGCTTCGGCCTGCAGCCTTTGTCAGACATGAAGTGAACTACACAAAGGTAACAAAAAGGAGAGTATTCAGATCTCTTTTGTTGCTAAAGATTGTTGCTCTCCATGAAGCCTGATGCTAAAATTAAACATATGTTAATAAGTAAACAGGAAAGGATCTGTGTCCTTGTCTTGAGGTGTAATAAGTGTATGGTGCTGCTCCATATTTGTATAGACCAACGAGCAGTTGAAGGGTGTCATATTAATTTCACATTGGCTGCCCTTACTTTCCACTTCCTTGTGCCAATTCTAGGCTGGGTAGCATAATGAAAGAGAGAAAGAAAGAGGAAACGAGACAGAGGGGATTCTCCTGTATGGATAATGTGCGATCTCTACAATACTGCCTAGTGAGTGAAGGAACTTATCCCTTGTCTTGTCCTGTGGAGTCAGGAAACTTATCCCTTGCCTTTTCCTGTGGAGGGAAGGAACTTATCCCTTGCCTTGTCCAGTGGAGGGAAGGAACTTATCCCTTGCCTTATCTTGTCCTGTGGAGGGAAGGAACTTATCCCTTGTCTTGTCCTGTGGAGTGAAGGAACTTATCCCTTGTCTTGTCTTGTGGAGTGAAGGAACTTATCCCTTGCCTTTTCCTGTGGAGTGAAGGAACTTATCCCTTGCCTTTTCCTGTGGAGTCAGGAAACTTATCCCTTGCCTTGCCCTGTGGAGTGAAGGAACCTATCACTTGCTTTGTCCTGTGGAGTGAAGGAACTTATCCCTTGTCTTGTCTTGTGGAGGGAAGGAACTTATCCCTTGTCTTGTCCTGTGGAGGGAAGGAACTTATCCCTTGTCTTATCTTGTCATGTGGAGTGAAGGAACTTATCCCTTGTCTTGTCTTGTCATGTGGAGTGAAGGAACTTATCCCTTGTCATGTCCTGTGGAGTGAAGGAACTTATCCCTTGTCTTGTCCTGTGGAGTGAAGGAACCTATCCCTTGTCTTGTCCTGTGGAGGGAAGGAACTTATCCCTTGTCTTGTCCTGTGGAGTGAAGGAACTTATCCCTTGTCTTGTCCTGTGGAGTGAAGGAACTTATCCCTTGCCTTGTCCTGTGGAGTGAAGGAACTTATCCCTTGTCTTGTCCTGCGGAGTGAAGGAACTTATCCCTTGTCTTGTCCTGTGGAGGGAAGGAACTTATCCCTTGTCTTGTCCTGTGGAGGGGAGGAACTTATCCCTTGCCTTGTCCTGTGGAGTGAAGGAACTTATCCCTTGTCTTGTCCTGTGGAGGGAAGGAACTTATCCCTTGTCTTGTCGTGTGGAGTGAATGAACTTATCCCTTGACTTGTCCTGTGGAGGTAAGGAACTTATCCCTTGTCTTGTCCTGTGGAGGGAAGGAACTTGTCCCTTGTCTTGTCCTGTGGAGGGAAGAAACTTATCCCTTGCCTTGTCCTGTGGAGGGAAGGAACTTATCCCTTGCCTTGTCCTGTGGAGGGAAGGAACTTATCCCTTGTCTTGTCCTGTGGAGTGAAGGAACTTATCCCCTGTCTTGTCCTGTGGAGGGAAGGAACTTATCCCTTGTCTTGTCCTGTGGAGGGAAGGAACTTATCCCTTGTCTTGTCCTGTGGAGGGAAGGAACTTATCCCTTGTCTTGTCCTGTGGAGGAAAGGAACTTATCCCTTGTCTTGTCCTGTGGAGGGAAGGAACTTATCCCTTGTCTTGTCCTGTGGAGGGAAGGAACTTATCCCTTGCCTTGTCCCATGGAGTGAAGGAACCTATCACTTTCTTTGTCCGGTGGAGTGAAGGCACTTATTCCTTGCCTTGTTCTGTAGAGTGAAGGAACTTATTCCTTGCCTTGTCCTATAGAGTGAAGGAATTTATTCTTTGCCTTGTCCTATTAGGTAAAGAAAATGATCCCTTGCCTTGTCCTGTGGAGTAAAGGAACTTATCCCTTCCCTGAATGGGAACAGCCTCTTTATAGCACTAGGGAAGCACTGTTGTCTTCTAGAGAGAATTTACAAATTCTTTCTAAAAGCAACATCTACCCTGCTTTAGTGTCTTTACTCTGTCATTATTGATTGCCCAGTTTTTAGATCCACGCTCCGTGTGTGGGTTCCGGGGCTCCATTTTGGGCTGGGGGGGGGGGGGGATAAGAATAGATCCTTGGCCACCTTTCTATTGTTAAAAGGTGACTAACCAAATAAAAGGATTAAGGAAGCAAGGATGTAGAAAAGAAACCCTAAAATGAATGCTGAAGAGAGAAGCCAAAGGTGTTGGACTGAATTCTATCCATGATATGTGACATACTTAGATCGAATAGTGGCAGTTATGTATTGTATTATGGTTATGAAAAGTGTCTTGAGGCTAATGGGACTCACTTTGAGCACCTGTAGCAACTTCATACATCACACGTAACATGTATGCATCTCTACATGTCTGAATACATTTGGTATCAAAATGTTTATGCATGAAAATAAGGAGAGGCTGGCCAAGCAGCACAGTGTCAGGCTCTCATGCAGGTGACCAGGGTTCAGTATCCAGCAAGGTGATTGAGTTTTTCTGTCGGGGGCAGAATTAAACATCCTGACCTGCCTAGTCTGTGGCGACAGCACTAGCCATGTGGCCCAGAATCCTCAGGCTTGCGACCCCCTGGTCTTCACCGCTCTGAAAGTTGGTAAATATAGACAGTAGTGGCAGTAAAAAAACCATGCAACACGTTACTACCGTAATGTATTCAGAGACCGCAAACTGATATATGACAAGCTGCATGTTGTGAGGGCCCTTTGGGAGCGATTGAACAGTGTCAAGGAACAGATAGATCATTACGGTCTGAGGAGAATGGCACTGCGAGGAGTTACAAGGGGATCTGGCCGAAGCTCGAAACTCGGGGGAGGGGCAAGACGGATATACAATCAGACTGTTACTGGTACCATCGGAATTTTAACTCTTCTCTTGCTGCTGATGATGGGGACGGAGCGCTTCTGGAAGTGACCCGAGTGCTGTGATTTAGATTCTTAATTCAACATTCAGACCGCAAATATTGTAAGTGTAGATACATTTCACTGCTTTACGATTACTGTGCATACATTTTCTGGTGGCTAAGTCTGTGTTAGCAATTGTAACAGTTATTTCATTCACAATTTCAGGTGGTCAGCAGCCTATAAAAAATCCTCCAGGGGCAAGATTTTGTCTTCTTAATGGTGACAAGAGAGAATTTCCTAACAGGAATCCTCAAAGTTTTATAAAGCCAGAAGCCAGGGTGAACTCTCTGGAGCTTCAAAATCATCATGCTTCAGGACGACAGGTGCCAGCCACTTCATCTCAACAAGCCATGGATCTGGAATCACTGTTAACCCCTGGTACCGGTGTTGAGTTTACTGATACAGCCTCCCTAGGAGGGTGTGATATTCCTCCGTCGTACGAGGAAGCTCTAAGGATGCCGTTGGCTGCAGATGTTGATAAAGATATGGACGATGACGGCTTGGATGTTGCCATGGGGGGTAGGTTAGAGTTGGACGGTTTTAATGTTGAGCCAGGTGGAGATATGCAGAGTGCCCGAAAGAAAAGCGAAGACAAGGGAAGTAAAAACAGCGAACAGGACACTAACATAGGGACTAGTTAGCTCTGTTAAAACTGACAGACTTTCATGTCAGTGATTACAGTCCATCAACAAGGTGTTTATTCAGCTTTAACTTTCTTTAAATTTAATAAAAAATCCCAAAATGTTAATCAATTTTTCAGACATCATACATACATTTCAGAATATTAATTTATACAATGATCATTAATTATTCATACATTGTGCATGAATTTATATAGAGTTCACACAGTTTTCATTAATTGTCCAGATATCAATTCATTCATTTATAAATAATTTATCAGACAATGTTCCCTAATTATCGATAAATTATGTATAATTTAAGAAAAATAATAATAAAGAAAATGTTCATTAATTATCCAAACAACATGCATCATTGCTGAGGAAAAATTCATGAAATGTTCATTAAATACCCATGATAACATTATCATGTAGCAGGTCTTTTGCAGAACGTCACTCTCATCATGGTCTACCTGAAAGAAACTCGTTCTCTTGCCAGGTCTCCCCCCTCATGTACTTTCATACTCAAGGAGTCACTTATATCCTGTGCCCATCTTTGTGTTGGTCGGTCCCTGCCCCTCCTTCCTGGTATCATGCCTTCTGCTGTAATTGTTTCCAATCTGTCAGGGCGCTTGATATAACCAAAATATTTCAGCTTCTGAGACAGGGTGCTGTTTATTATCTTTCTATAGCATTTCAGCTAAAAAGCTCCTATTCTCTTTCAAAAGGACTTATCCATGACAATCATCCATATATACAAGTAAAAAGAAATGATATGATGTGATAATATTATATACAATAATATGAAAATCAAAGGAACAGAACCATATAAGTACTTGGGTGCAAACTTCAACCACTCCAAAATGCTGAGAGAAGAAATACAATCTAGAATAGAATGTGGAAATAAAGTATACTATGCCCTTCAATATTTGCTAAAGTCGATATCTCTATCTTGCAGTACCGAGATCAAAATTATAAAACGTTGATGAGACCATTCATTTTATCTGGCTCTGAAACTTGGAGAATAGATAAAAGAGATGAAGACTCATTACAAATTTTCAAAAACAGTCTTACGTTGAATCTTTGGACCCATTAAAGATGCAAACAGTGAGGAATAGAGAGTGAGAAGCAACAATGAAATTCATAATCTGTTTAAATCAACATTGATCACTGGCATCATGAGAGCTAAAAGACTGAAATGGCTTGGGCATATTGAGAGAATGTCAGATGACAGAGAGGTAAAAATTGTATACGCTGGGTCTGGTATGTTGGTCCAATTATTGTATCTTGGGCTCCGTCCACCCCAGTGTATATCTCCACAGACGCATGATATAAGAGGGGATTAATGGTAGGATTGGCTACCCATCCCATTAAAAACCTTATCTGCAGATTCAAACGAATCAAGAAAAATTATAGAAAGGACATGGAATGCAAAGATTTAAGGGACTTTTCTTAGATTCATAAATTCCCTGTGTGGGTTCGGAGACCCTATTATAGGGAAAACAAGAATAGACCCACTGCCTACCAAAAGCATGTCGTAAGAGTCGACTAACTGGGAGCTTACTTTAAAGTCGGAGTGCATCTGCCTGAGAGTCAAGGAACCAGCAGTCTGCATTCAAATGTCAGATCTGTAAAATGAATGCACACGCAACACTCAGATTTTGGTACAGGACTGCAGTCCAGAAGTGGATGAACAACCAGAACTTTCCGCCAGAGTTTACAGCTGGTGAACAAGAAGAAGAAGAAAAAGATTCATAAATTTTCAAAGTAATTGTGGCTGTATTAGCAAGGTCTAAAGGTAGCAAGTATTAGCAGGTCTAAAGGTAGCAAGTATTAGCAAGGTCTAAAGGTAGCAAGTATTAGCAAGGTCTAAAGGTAGTAAGTATTAGCAGGTCTAAAGGTAGTAAGTATTAGCAGGTCTAAAGGTAGCAAGTATTAGCAAGGTCTAAAGGTAGTAAGTATTAGCAGGTCTAAAAGAGTTTGTAAAATTTCCTAAATGGCATATTTAGAAATAGACCTGATTGTTTCTGCAGTTTTACTTTTTACATGGCTAAGTTCTGGAGTCCATTCCTTCTCATAATATGTCCAGAAAATATTGATTGTTTGCGTCTAATTGTTCTAATAAGTTACAACTTCAGTCTTTCTCGATGAGGACTGCTTTGTATGTTTTTCTATACTTCCAAGGTATTCTTTGCATTCTTCTCAGGAACCACATCTCTGCCGCAAGTACTAGTTTTTCAGCTCCTGTGCTTACAGTTCACTTTTAGATGTATTCGTAGTTTGTTGTCCTATTTTCATTTTGTTGTTATAGCTTTAGGCATTGCAAACGCGCTTCGTAATGCCGGGTTCGATCCCTGCTGCGGATGATTTGACTTGTGCGGGTTTTGACAGTGGTACCGAGAGCAGAGCTGAATGTATAATGTGAACTTATAAATGCTGGGGTTGGTTCTGCAACGTCCTATATAGGATATGCAAGTAACTTTTTTTTGTTTTGTTTTTGGTTATAGCTCATATTTAGTTGTAAATGATGTTTAATATTAAAAATTGAAAGATCTTTGAAAGAAACAATGTACGAAAGGAGTGAGGTCAGAAGGACAGAATGTTGTTAGATGGTCTTGCATGTCCCCTTTTGAAACTAAAGTTCCTTCATTGGTTTGTTCTGTCTGCTTGGTGAGTTTCTGAGGGTACACAGTTAATCATGTGTAAAACCTTATAGCTGCAACATCGGACTAATCATAAACAGTTCTCGAAAGAGCACGGCGTGGGTAGATTTAAGGGCCTGTTTGTCATTGAGAGCTGTAAGACGTGAAGAAGAATATCAATATTCATGTTTTTTTTAGGAGTTACAAATGATTGGTAAAATTTATAAAGTGGACAATAATATTTTGTATTCTTTTGTGCAGTATTCATAAATATACTGCTACTACACACTCAGTGTTTGCATTACTGGAACAGTTGTATACTATTATCCTGTATTATTTGTTTTGTATACAAATGTTTAGTTGTTTTTTTATTTATTGTACCAGCAATGCCATGACTTAGAGGCAACGTATGTGAGTGCATTTGACATCCGCAGATGCATTTATTGTATACTGAATATTTGTTTAAAATAACATGGAAAATATAGGCACCAGAACTTAGGAGCTAAGTTGCTCGATAACATTTTTAACTGAGATATACACAGGGCTGGATTAACCATTAAGCTCCCTAAGTATGTGCTTAGGGCATCACAAAGGAAAGGGGGCACCACATAAATTTTCAATAGCATAGAAACTGATCGTTTATTTTCTCAGTTGAAGATTTAAAACAAAACAAAAAAATTCCATTAGAGCAACAAGGTAGGATGGATGCCTTATCTCTATTAAGAAAAGAAGCAGACATGTTATGTAAAATTTATTTGAGGAACTCATCACAGACTTTGTATTTCAAGAAAGAAAAAAATTAAAATACTTTTCAAATATAAATAAAATAAGTAAACAAAAATAAACATTATTTCCCATCTCTACTGATTCCATTGCTTGTTCCCAAACGACCTTGACCACATCTGCCTTGTCATGTATCTGGTGTGTATCTAGCCAATCTGTCTGCCTGTTCATTACCCACAACGCCGGCATGGCCTGGAGAAAAGATCCAAAGTATGCTCACCACCCGTGACCTTTCCAGTGAATCTAGCCACTCTGCTCGAAGCATCCCTGTCTTCACCTTTTCCAGCATGCTTTCAGAGTCTGTTACAATTACGACATGTGTATGCATGTTGTTCTCTAGCCACGGGAGAGCCGCAGTTACCTCCTCCACCTCCATTCTCATGCTAGATGTTGTGGTGTCATATACTAGGCTGTCTTGCAAAATTTTTCATTGGCTTTCGCTACAAACCCCCAGGCACTTCTCTTTCCTCTCAACACTGAACCATCTGTATAGATAATCAGATCACCTGGGTGTGAATTGTCTTGAATCAACTGTTGGAATTCAACCTCCGTAGCACCCGCTGGCCACTCTCGGCCTAATGTTATCATTGAGTAGGTTAATTTTAGGCTAAATAGTTAATATTAAACTTTTTTGTTCTAACGCAGTCCCTATGCAGGATGTAATTTTTCGTCATTTGAAGCCCCACCCTGGCTTTTGCCGGGGCGCTTAATATAACCTAATGACTGAACAGGGTTTCTGGTACCTCTCCACGATTGATCCTAATCCGCATGGTGGCACTTTGTGTCACCTCTTGATTATCGCTCTGTGTGATATCCTGGTGGGGTATAACTTACATACATACATACAAAATATCAAAAGCTTGGATAGAAAGCTAACAATGTTTCAAGTCAGGGAATTGTGGACAACCCACCGAGCGTTGATTGAGCTGTAAAAATAATGTGAGAATAGCATCAAAAGTCTGCTCAGCCACTGGCTTTGAAAGGGCTCTTTATTTGTGCTTTTTTATAATCAGGGAGTGATACACAGTTGGTGATTTTGTTTCTGAGTATTGTAATTTTAATTTTCAATGTTTAAAATTAGTTCTTTTTTTGGGGGTAATAATTTTTTTTTTTAAATCTATACTGTTCATGAGATAATCTTTCTGAGTATATCTTCATGTAGTCTTTCTATTTACGTGCCATTGTTTTCACATTCTTTGTTAAAGTAGTGGTTTTTGTATTGACACATTTATTGTGATTTATGTATGAAATTCAAATATTAATTGCTGTAAATTTGTGTGTGTGTCTAGTCAGAAGCGAAACCTTGGTGCAGATTTCTTTGTTTGTTGTTTGAAGTTTGAACAATGGATCAACATCATGGCACAGGGGTAAGTGCTAACCCATAAATGCTTCCGTTCTTTCTTCTAACTGAAGTCCGAGTCTGAAGAAGCTCAGCACAGTGCACAGGCTCTGTAGCACCGGCGAGGAACCTGAAATACTTTGGGTAGATTTTTAACTCATATTTTGCCCGGGTGTCAAATATGTTATTGTAGTTTATGCCCTCATGGTGGCCTGTGAGAGTACAGTGATAGAGACTAGTTTCCTGAAATTAAAGCAACA